TGCATATAGAACTGGGGTACAGGCCAGAGGTGCAGGGGCGGTGAGAGGATTCACCAGAGACAGAGTAGGGAGCAGAACAGGCTGACTGACGAAGTACACTGCTGAAAGGAGCAGCAGGTGGGTCAGGAGAGGTCTGCTGCACCATGTGGATCACTTCCGAGGCGGGGATCGAAATCATGCTGAAGTGGCTTTAGCTTCTTAGTGCTGCGCTTTAACCCACTGCGCCACTAGGGAGGGCCTGTCTTCTATTCCAACATGTCAATAATCATCTATGAGCGTTCCAATTTAAATAATCTGTTGTTGGCTTAAAATATTATTTGCAAGAGTTTCAGATTGGTTTTTAGAATAAAAAATTGTTTTCTCTTAGATTACAATCAGCCAATGGAAGATAGGAACCAGACAGCTGTGACTGAGTTTCTCTTCTTGGGCCTCACAGATGAGCTTCCTCAGCAGATGGTCCTCTTCACCGTTCTTCTCTTTGTCTACATGGTCACTCTGGGTGGCAACTTGGGGATGATCACACTCATATGGATCAGCCCCAGGCTCCACACGCCTATGTATTTTTTTCTTAGCCACTTGTCCTTTGTAGATATTTGCACCTCTTCTTCCATTGCCCCCAAGATGCTGTGTGATATCTTTGTGGAGAAGAAAGGCATCTCGTTCATGGGTTGTGCTGCACAGATGTGGTTTTTTGGTCTGTTTGTGGCAACAGAATGCTTCCTCCTGGCTTCCATGGCATATGATCGGTGCATGGCCATCTGTAAACCCTTGCTGTATACTCTCCTCATGTCCCAGAGGGTCTGTGTGCAGCTGGTGGTCGGACCTTACGTCATGGGCTTTATTAGCACCATGACTCACACGGTTCTCACCTTCGCCTTACCCTTTTGTGGTCTCAATATTATCAACCACTTTTTCTGTGATATTTCCCCACTGCTCTCTCTAGCCTGTGCAGACACCTGGAGCAATAAGTTGGTGCTTTTCATCTTGGCGGGAGCTGTAGGCGTCCTCAGTGGCCTGATAATCCTGATATCTTATGTTTGCATCCTGGTGGCCATCCTGAGGCTGAAGAGTGCTGAGGGGAGGCGGAAGGCTTTCTCCACCTGCTCCTCTCACCTGGCAGCTGTGTCCATTCTGTATGGCACTCTTTTCTTTATCTATGTTCGTCCTGGCTCAGGTTCCTCCCTGGATCTCAATAAAATGATTTCTCTATTTTATACCATGGTGATCCCCATGTTGAATCCTCTCATCTATAGCTTGAGGAATAAGGAGGTGAAAGATGCATTCAGGAGGAAGTTTGAAAGGAAGAATTCCGACAGGTAAAGTAGAACTCTCTTTGCGTTGTGTTCCTCCATCTGCCACAGAACACACTGTCAAAAGCACACTAGACAAGAAGACAGAGGCTGTAGGTG